GTGGGGTGGGGTGGGGTGGGGGTGGTGTGTGTGTGTGTGTGTGTGTGTGTGTGTGTGTGTGTGTGTGTGTGTGTGTGTGTGTGTGTGTGTGTGTGTGTGTGTGTGTGTGTGTGTGGGTGCGTGTGTGTGTGTGTGTGTGTGTGTGTGTGTGCGTGCGTGCGTGCGTGCGTGCGTGCGTGCGTGCGTGCGTGCGTGCGTGCGTGCGTGCGTGCGTGCGTGCGTGCGTGCGTGCGTGCGTGCGTGCGTGCGTGCGCGCGCGCGTGTGTGTGTGTGTGTATGTGTGTGTGTGTATGTGTGTGTGTGTGAGAGTGTGTGTGTGTGTGCGAGTGTGCGAGTGTGCGAGTGCGCGAGTGCGCGAGTGTGCGAGTGTGCGAGTGTGCGAGTGTGCGAGTGTGCGAGTGTGTGTGTGTGTGTTTTTGCTCGATGGTCCAGGATGGTCCTCGATGGTGCTGGCCGAGAAAACATGCACACGTCCGAGCGATGCCAAGACAGCTGCTCGGTGGGGGCGAGGGCCGCCGAGGAGCCCCGCCGCCTCCCCAAGAGGGTCTCCTCCCTCTCGCTTCCCCCCCCCCCCGTCGCTCGCCGCCGAGGGGAGGGGGCGTCACGCCGACCCCACAGCGCCGCGCGGAGCACCCTCGACACCTCCGGCTCGGATGCTATACGGTCCCACACCAGAGGAGTCGACGTCTCGATGTTCTGCAGAGGCGGCCGGAAGTGCACGCGCTGCCCTTCGAGAGAAAGGCGGCAGCGGTGTCATGATCCCGCTGGCTCAGGATGCGCTCCAGGAATCCCGTCCTCGCCTCCTGGGGCCCGCGAGGGGCACCAGGGAGTCTTCACAGTCCTGGGAGTCATCGTCATCGCGGCGTTTTGTTGCTCCTCTGATGCTGGCTGCCTCCTTAGAGGGCTCCAAGGGCACTTCCAAGAGGGCTCAGAAAGGGTGCAATCGTTGATTTTCTAATCGAAGTGTTTGAAGGATTTGAGTGTTCTCTCCGCCTTTTCTCGCTTCCGACGCTTCCCGACGGTCCAGAGGGCCTGGAAGATCCCCCGAAGATGCCCAAAAGGAACCCAAGAAGGCCCCAAGACGGCTCAAGACGGCCCCAAAGGCGCCCAAGACGGCCCACGAGGGCTTGAAGAAGGCCCCAAGAGGGGCCCTAGAACGGGAAAGCGAAGATGCCTGGGAGCCAATCTAGCTCCAGAGACCACCAAGAAGCCCCCGAGAGGCCCCAAGGGCCCCCCAAGAGGCCCATGATGTCCCCCAAAGGCCACCAAAGGCTCCAAGGAGCTTCCGAGAGGCATCCCCAGAAATCCCAACAAGCACCCACGACAACTCTGACCCACAACTTAAACACGATGGCAGGATTGGCCGAAGGCCATTCAGATATTGCGCATGCGCATTTGTTTATTTGTTTATTATATATATATATATGTGCTAATATTACTATATACATACAAGACTGCAGTGGCGCTTCGCGCCATCAAGCGGACACGTTAACGATAACTCCTTGCTGCCTTTACTGTCATCGCCGTTATAATAATGTTGCTCGTTCTCCTTCATCCATGTTTATTTTTCTGATTCTCGCCATACCCTGGGCATTCTCCCCATCCTCCTCAGCTCTTTTTGCGGAGGCTCCTCCTTGGATAGCCTCTGGGAGCCTCACCAAAGTTCTCAAGCTTTCTTAAAGCCTTCTTGAGGCCTCCTGGGCGTGTTCTGGGGGCCTCTGGGGCTTCCTAAGGCCAACCTGCCTCTAACCGCGGTCTCCCTGAACGCCCGGGTCACGATTTGGAATGCTTCGGAGGGTGTCTTGGGGCCATCTTGGACCGCCATGAGGCTCTCTCAGGGCCATTTTGGACCCCTGGTGTGCCGTTCTGGGGCTCTCTTGGACTGCCTGGAAGCCCTTTCGGATGGCTGTGGGGCGATTTGGGAGCCGCTGTCTTGGAGCGTCGGGAAGCCGAAAAGAGGAGAACCCCAAATTCACCAAAAACCTAGGTTACATCAATCATGTTTCCCTCTTAGGGCCTTCTTGGGGGTGCTCTTAGAGGCCTCTTGGTACGTTTTGGAGTGATCTTTCGGGGTACGACGGCTTCTTGGAGCGCTCTTGTGTTGTCTTGGGGTTCTCTGGGACGTCTCCGATGACCCCCCTGATCGCCCGAGGTGTGCTGCGAAGGCTTGGCAAAACGCCCTGCGAGACCCGGGGTGCCGCTTCGAGGCCCGTCCGAAGGGTCCCAAAGCCCCAGATCCTGGGAGTCCAGTTTTTTTGGGGGGGACGGGTTTTCCCCCTGCCCCCCCGCCTGGGCTTGTAAAAATATAGGAAGAGGAATATGTGTATACGTAGACATACATACATACGTGCATTGTTTTCATTATCACTCCATCGTTTTCCAGGCCCTTCAATCAATATTGCTGTGGCGTCAGGGTGAGCGTATCTACGCCGCACCTCCAACGAACCACAGAAGGATTTTGGGGGCGCGGTCAGGCAGGGCGGGAATGCCTCCAAGGTTCCTCATGACCATCGACGCCTTGCTGCTGAATGCCCTCCCCGCCGCTGCGGGCTTCTGCGGGAGTCCGGTTTTGGGGGGGGGACGGGTTTTCCCCCCGCCCGGGCTTGTAAAAACAGAGGAAGAGAAATAGGTATACAAATACATATACATACATACATGCATACATACATACATACATACAGACAGACAGACAGACAGACAGACAGACGTACATACATACATACATACATACATACATACATACATACATACATACATACAGACAGACATACATACGTACGTACGTACGTACGTACATACATACATACATACAGGCATGAAAGCATGAATCCATATATACATACATACATGCATGCACGCGTACATACATACGTACTTACATACTTACAGGCAATACAGACAGACAGACAGACAGACAGACAGACAGACAGACAGACAGACATAACTACATGCATGCATACCTACATACAGACAGACAGACAGACACACAGACATACATGCATACACATACATACATACATACATACATACATACATACATACATACGTATAGACAGACAGACAGACAGACAGACAGACAGACAGACAGACAGACAGACAGACAGACAGACAGACAGACAGACAGACAGACAGAAATGCATACATGCATGCGTGCATGCATGCATGCACGCATACACACACCATCGATATACGCATGTATAGATGCGTGTACAATGTATACTATGTATACATATGCACACATACATGTATAATATGTGTATACACGTACAGAAGCAAGTGTAGACACCAGCATGCCAAACAATGGAGCATACCACACAACAAAAAACAAAAAGCAGGGGGCGCGAGGCTCCCGGAGCAGGGCCAGGTGCGCGGCCACCTGCTCGGGCGTCTCCATGCGCCGGGCCGGACGACCCAAGGGGGGGACAGCGAAGAGGGGTGGGGGGCGGGAGGGAGAAACGATCGGAGGAGGAGGAGGAGGAGGAGGAGGAGGAGGAGGAGGAGGAGGAGGAGGAGGAGGAGGAGGAGGAGGGGGAGACTGGCTCCAGCGGGGGAAAAACATCGAGCTGGAATCAGCGATACGTCGCCGGTGGCTCGGCGGCAGGGCCCCGATGACGACACCCCACACTTTCTGGGGCAGGCGGGGGGCCATCGGGCCCCTAGCGGCGATCAGCGGGCGCTTGGAGAGCGGCGCACTCCCCCCTCTGAGCCCATCCCCCCCCCCAAAACGCTGCCCTTGAGGGGTTGGCGAATCCACGTTGCCCCTGCGGGGGTGGGCGAATCTCCTCGCGCAGCTGGTTGTCCTGGCGCCCCCCAGCGCCGGAAGGGGCCGTGCGTCGAAGAGAAAGCCCCGTGGCGGTCGTAGCCCTCCGTCTCCCGATCCTCGAGTGCGCCAAAGGGGGGGCTAGCGCATCACAGCCCGAGGCATGTCAGATGCGAAGGGGGGGGGGCCAGGGGAAGCCTTTGGAAGAAGAGTGATAAGAAAAAGAAGCAGACGAAGAATAATAATACTAATAATAATAACGAAGACACTAATGCTCATGGAAGGAAGAAGAAGACGAAAAAGAGACGGGCACGACATCTAGGATATGTCATGACCCTGGCATGATATCCACGCACACACACAATTATCACACCCTCTTGGACGCCCCCGACCCCAGACATCCGATGTCTTTCTTGTTTCAAGGAAAAGCCGGCACGTTCCCCACGGCCGGCTGTTCGTCTCAGGCCGCTCCCTGACGGCCCCGGGAGGCCGAAAGCTTCAAACACCAGCTTCGCGACGCGAGCATGTCTGGGATATCGAAGAAAACGGCATGGCATAACTAAACATAAAACTCGGAGGTCCGCGCGGATTTCTCGGATCGGCGCTGGACCCCCCTTTTGGCGCCGCCAGGGGGCCCCAGCTCCGATCTGGGAAATCCGCGCGGAACTCCGAGTTTTTGTTTATGTCATTCTTCGTTCCCCCAGAGCATGTCTGGGATACCCCCCCTTGCGTCCGACCCGAATGTGGCCGTACATCATCGTCGAGGTGGTCGCCAGGCCTTCGGCGTGCGCCGCTGCGATCACCTCGCGCCACTGTGCCGAGGTCAAGCGGTTGCCGCCGAGCCGCGCCCGCAGCCCGTCGTCAAGGATCTCCTGCCGGGCCCACGACATGCGGACGGCATCTGCACACCGCCGCCGTGCTTGGCCAGGGCAATCCTGGGCCCTGGCACGGTGCGTTCGGGGGTCCCTGGGCGGTGATGCGACGGACCGTACAGCGACCAGGATGTATCCGTATCCACCGCCTGGGAACCAACGTCCTGGTGCCCCAGCGGGCAGTGGATAATTATGTATATCTTTTCGCCCCCGCGGGCCCGACTATGTCCATATCCACCGCCCACCGAGGTCCCCGAACATTGACCCTCCAAGCGGTGGTCATGTATAAATTCCCGTGTCTGACCAGAACCCCCCGCGGACCTCACCGCGCGGTCCGTTCCCGCACCGTCTCGGGACTTTGGAAGCCCCAGGTCGCCCGACATGTCATATGGGAAACGACGCGGGTGGGAAAACCGTGCGGCTGGCCCGAAACCCAACGGACAGACCGCACGATGCGTGGCCACCGCACCGCTCGCCCCCCCACCCCCCACCCACCCACGCACGCGCGCCCTCCTGGCCGAAGCCGGGAGGGCTCACGTGCACCATCCCCGAGGGCCCAGCGTTGCTCTGGACGGCCCCCCCTGGCCCCCCAGCAGAGAGCTCCACGAACGCCCCCCGTCAATGGCCCAGGGGCGGGGCGGGCGGCGCGGGGCTAGGGGGCCTGGGATTGCCGCCAAGGGCCCATGAGGAGGAGGAAACGGAAGAGGAGAAGGAGGAGGAGGATGAGGAGGAGAAGAAGGAACAGGAGGAGGAGCTCTCGCTCCCCCATTCAGTTCAATGTTTCATCAATCTCATTATCGCAGAACCTGGGGGGTGGATGCGCCTTATCTGTACCACCTTCATCTTGCTTGCTCGAAGAGCCACGCGCGCTGGAAGATGCAACGCTTTGTTGCCTGCGCGGAGGCCTAGCCGTTGAACTCAACGGGCAGGGCACAAAATCGGAGGGGGGGGTTTAAGTCTGTCGCTTATCTCATACCTCTCAGATGCAGCCGACAAATCTTGACGATCGGCTCAGACGAGGGGCAGAGCGACAGAGCCTAAAGGAAGTCGCAGGCGAGGGAGAGGTCGTAGCACGTGCCATCGCGTAGAGACGAGCCCGATCCAGTAAGTACAAAGCTCCAAACTACAAAACGCGCACGGCGCAGGCTGAGAGTGAGCACGGGACTCTGGCGCTTTAATGATCAGGACCTGGGCTCTAGACAACCTCGAGTGGCAACGCAGCTGCCGCGCCTCAAAGCCCAAGAATCACCAACACTTCAGAGGCTGCTTGCCTCGGTGCACCAGTGGCCCCGTGGAGCCCGACAAAATCCAGAAAAGGGGGGTCAGCTAGGAGCGGGCGCGCCACGGCGCGAGCCACCTGCTATGTGAGAACTCATCCACTCCAAGTAATATGAATATGAGACTTAGCAGACTCAAACACCACGTAGGTGAGTGGTTGGTGTGAGTGGATGCTTCGCACGCGGGGCGCTTGGCTCCGATCACGACACTTCCACCGCCTTCACGGGCGTCGAAGCATCTGGAGATAATGGAGGTGATAGTCACCATAATAATCATCGCATCCCATCCATCATCTGTGCCTTTGAACAACCGTGCCAAGAAACATGGCTACTGCGAATAATTATTCATGGGCTTCCGCGCTGCTTTACAACGCGGTGCCCTGCTAGCAGCGAACTTACCTCCAGCTGCCCGAATGAGCTCAGCTACAGTCGTCTCGACGTCCATGATCTTGCCATTCAGCGCGTAGAAGCTCGTCGGCATCTCCAGGGGCGTCTGTTGGTGCAGCTGGCTGTCTGGTTCCTCGATGGCCTCGAGCAATTCGGTCGCCGCCCCTTCCTCTTTCGGCACCAGTATTGACCCTCGCAAGCTGAACAAAAGAAGGCGAGACTGCTTGGGTTGTTGGGCTGGTGGTCGAAGCACGGGAGCACTGCTGAGTATCGCACCAACTGGCCTGTCAAATCTGGCCCTGCCTTTGCCGCCATACGCGCGAGCCAAACTGCTATGAGCTTAAGTCGACATATCCTCGCCGAAGTGCCCCGATACTGCCAATTGCCTAAGACGGACAGAATCGCGTAGACTGGCTGGCACGCTGGCGAGCCAAGATTTGTGGTCGGGTGCTGCTTGCGTTCCTTGGCGTACTCCGCGTACGCTCTGCTGACGTCCACCACTACTTGATGCTGCCTGTCCATGATGGCTGTCGCCATGGCATCGCCAACTGAACGGCGAGGCTCTTCATCAACAGGATGACTGTGGCGTCGTCCACGTCCTCGTCCTCGTCCTCTTGGCCCTTCGCCGTGCGTTTATTGTGCTCGCTGCCCGCCGCCGCAAACCTCTCGCTGCGACCCCGAATCAGCCAGGACCTCTGCCCTGCCGCTGCCCCCGCTGCCTCCTCGCCCACGATGCCTGGCGTGCAATGCTGGAACCCAATCTGGATCGAGTAGCTTAGCCCACGACGCGCGTCCTCGTGGTAGATGCCGCTGCGATTGAGCTACGCCCCCGTGCTTGACTAACAGACGAACGTGAAATGAGGGTGATAGATACGGCCCCACATGATCTCGACAATGCTTGAACCACGATTCCAATGCGCCGAAGCTCTCGTCGCAAATCTGGCATGTCATGTTATCCGGAGGAACTGTTTCACATGCATGCACACCGCGATTACAGGGGCAACACTGTCGTTTATGGCTGTCGGCCACACGTCCCTTCGCAATCTCCACGCTCAGGACCGCGCTGCCGCATAGCACGCCCATGTTAGTGGTAGTTAGTATGCGTCCTGCATGTAGTTGTCCATGACTGCCCCCTATCGCGTTGACGAGCTCGGTTAACATGCGATGTGATGGCCATGTTGAGTTGCGTATACTGTCATATGCTAGAGTCTCCTTGCATAAATACTTGCATTGTTTGTGAGCTTGTTTGCGTGGGCATGCCGTGCGTGATGCGAGAGACGTTGCCCGTAAATCATTGCAATCGATCTTGACGAAATCCTCCGAGTCCTCGAATAAAATGTGTCGCATGATCACTCCTATGTCCCACATCCTCTCCCCCACCTCCAACTCCTTCAGGGCCCCCAAATCATTCTGGAACTGCATAGCCCAAGGATGCGCGAGAGGCCGAACCGATCCCCCCCCCCCCCCCCGAAAACACGTCTCCATTTAGAGCGGTCTTCCCTAAGCAAGTAGATACGAACTGAATGTGCTGGTCTCAATCCTGCACCATGGTTTGACGCCACTTCAGTCGGCTGATGCGCAACTCTGTGAATAGCGGAGCGAATCGGCGCTTTTGTTTAACAAAAAAGAGGGGAAAAAAAAAACACAAAAAAACAAAAAAAAAAAAAAAAAAAAAAAAAAAACGGGGTAAAAAAAAAAACAAAAAAAAAAAAAAAAAAAAAAAAAAAAAAAAAAAAAAAAAAAAAAAAAAAAAAAAAAAAAAAAAAAAAAAAAAAAAAAAAAAAAAAAAAAAAAAAAAAAAAAAAAAAAAAAAAAAAAAAAAAAAAACGTCCGCTCATGGCACTGACATGCTGCAACTCATTATCCCAGGATGCTGCGCCTCCTAGGATTGCACGACATTTGCGCACAATGCATCCTTCGAGCGAGGCCAAGTTTCCATTTGTAAACGGAAAATGACCTTTCACACACCTCCAAGCCGCTGCGTGCCGCGTTCACTCGCAACCCCATCCACCATGGACCGCTGCATGCCGAAGTTGCCAAGAGACCTCCAGAGCCTGCCCATGGAGTAATAACTCGCCTGGGGAGCTCGAAATCGCTTTTCAAGTTCGGGCTCGGGTGCGAAACTGCTCGCCTGAAGCCCCCCAAGATAGCGTGCATGATGTTTTGTTCGTCCTGCGATCTGCGTGACGTGCTTGTGTATGATGCGTGCTGCTATGTGCGCTCCATCTCCTCGCGGGTCGGCAATTTTCCCCTGCTTGCTGATGTTTTGCGTGGCCCCAACCTCCCCCACCCCCTTGCCCGCGGCTGAATTCTCCAGGCGGCTACCGACATTGCTGGGCGGATCTACATAATGAGTATTCGTCGCAGTGAGCCCCCATCCAGACAAGCAAGGGCGTAGCTGCATGGTCGCGTGGCCCTCCTTGCCGTACCCGCAGGGACCTGTAACCGTGTCCTCGCCATTGCTGGGAGACCCGCCATTCAGGTCCACGAACACGAAGGGGATAATCTGGTCGCGCGACATCTCTTCCATCGTTTCCTGAACCACTTCACATTTGTTTGGCAGGCCTCCTCATATGCTCGTCTAAGTTGGATACTCGTCTAGCGCCAAGGGAAACACATTGCTACAAGCCCAATCGACTGAGAACGCGTCTGGAAGTTCACTGCAGCACATCGCCGCCGCAGCATAGTGGGCGTAGGGAAAATACGTGTTAGCGTAGACCGTGGGAACCTCGAGCGCTTAATACGGAAACTGAGACCACAAACAGCTGTCACATAAGCGCTTCTCCGATGTCCAAATGCAATTGTCCAAGTGTAATATATCGTGCGAGTCTCGTTGGCCAGCTCACCATACGATTTAGACTGTGTGCCGACGAGCGCGTAAATGTCCCGCTTCGGTAGCGCCTGGATAACGTCCTGCAGCCTCTCCGTCGTCCTGGCGGCGCACGGGTTGTAGCAGACAGCTCTCATCAACCCACTCTCACCGCCCATGAAGTCCGCAGGGCAGTGCTGCCACCGCGCGGCTCTATTCTCGCGAAGGAAACGACATGGCCCGCTGCTGCTGCGATGTTATGTTTGTTTCCTGTCGGTGGTTGGGGTGGTGTTGTGGTGGCTTGGGCCACCTACAGGAGGAGGAGGAGGAGGAGGAGGAGGAGGAGGAGGAGGAGGAGGAGGAGGAGGGAGGAGGGAGGGAGGATGAGGAGGAGGAGGAGGAGGAGGGAGGAGAGGAGAGGAGAGGAGGAGGAGGAGGAGGAGGAGGAGGAGGGGGAGGAGCAGCAGGACGAGAAGGAGGAGGAGGAGAAGCAGGACGAGGAGGAGGAGGAGAAGGAGGAGAAGGAAGAGGAGAGAACGAGGGATTGTGGCGGCCCCCGCCTCTCGTTTGGCCCCCCCTGGCGGGCTGGCTGGCTGGAATGACATAAACATAAAAACCCGGAGGTCCACGCAGATTTCTCGGATCGGCGTTGGACCCCCCTACCTGGCGCGCGGAGCGCGCCAGGGGCGCCGACGGAGGCGCCGCCAGGGGTCTCCAGCGCCGATCCGAGAAACCTGCGCGGACATCCGAGTTATTATGCTTCTGTCTCCCGTCGTTCCCCTACAGGACCTGCCAGGATGCCCCCCCTGACGGGCTGGTCGGCCCAAAGCTTGCCGGCCGGCGGGGGCGTCTCCGCGGAGGTGCCCGGCAGCGAGCCCACCCCGGCGGCCTTCAGGGCCCGCAGCATCTCCGGCACCGAGCGTCCCGACAGCCGCGCGCCGTAGCGGACCTCCTCCGAGCGCAGGCGGGCCGTGCTGGCAGACGCTCTCACGACAAGACTGCCCTGGTGCTGCCAGAAGGGGCGCCCCCTCCTACCTCTCCTCCTCCTCCTCCTCCTCCTCCTCCTCCTCCTCCTCCTCCTCCTCCTCCTCCTCCTCCTCCTCCTCCTCCTCCTCGTCGCCTCCTCATCGTGCTCGTCCTCGTCGTCGTCCTCGTCGTCCTCCTCCTCTCCTCCTCCCTCCTCCTCCTCCTCCTCCTCCCCCCCTCCTCCTCCCCTCCTCCTCCTCTCCTCCTCCTCCTCCTCCTCCTCCTCCTCCTCCTCCTCCTCCTCCTCCTCCTCCTCCTCCTCCTCCTCCTCCTCCTCCTCCTCCTCCTCCTCCTCCTCCTCCTCCTCCTCCTCCTCCTCCTCCTCCTCCTACTCCTCCTCTCCTCCTCCTCCTCCTCCTCTCCTCCCCCTCACCCTCCCCCTCCTCCTCCTCCTCCTCCTCCCCTCCTCCTCTCCTCCGCCTCCTCCTCCTCCTCACCTCCTCCTTCTCCTCCTCCACTTCCTCCTCTTCCTCCTCCTCCTCCTCCTCCTCCTCCTCCTCCTCCTCCTCCTCCTCCTCCTCCTCCTCCTCGGGAGGAGGGAAGCGCTGGCAGATATGGCCGAGCAGCGAGAGGGTGCCGAAAAATCATGGGCACGGCGGCTGGCCTCCGCGGGAGAGCGGCGTGGAAGCGACCTCTCGTAGACGGACTTATGTAGAACAAACTTGGAAGGAGGGTTTAGTGAAACATCATTGGCGCGCTTTGAGTCCACACTGGTCCCTATAATTTTCCTCTTCATCCTCCTCCAATTGTTCCTCCAATTTCTCATTCTCCTCCTGCTCCTGCCCCTGCTTCTGCTCCTGCTCCTCCTCCTCCTCCTCCTCTCCCTCCTCCTCCTCCTCCGCCTCCTCCTCCTCTCGTCCTCGTCCTCCTCCTCCTCCTCCTCCTCCTCCTCCTCCTCCTCCTCCTCCTCCTCCTCCTCCTCCTCCTCCTCCTCCTCCTCCCCCTCCCCCCGTCCATGGAGGGGCCCGACCCATCGGCCCAAGAGGGACGCCCCGGGGCCGCAGGAGGAACCCGGGGAGGCACGCGGACCCGCGGATGTGGGCGGAGGCCCGGCGGCGGGCTCCTTCTCATCTGGGAGAACCAAAGAAACGGCACCAGCACCAAGAAACTACAGGGAAAACGTATAGTAAGGACGCGTGGTAAGGACGCAAGAACCTTGGAGGCCGAAGTTGAAGTATTCTGGGCGGCAGGCGGCCAAACCCCCAGGGAACCTGAGAAACTGGCCTGCGAAAATTGCTAGGGACGGGCCGCAGAGGCTGAGGCAGGCAAGGACCCAAGGGTACCCTTGAAAAAGATGTGTGTCCTTACTATGCGCGTTGACTGTATTTGTTCCGTGACACGTTGATTTGCGTTTCGGGCCAGCGCGACCCCGCCCTGGCCGAGGAAACGCAAAGCGGCCGGGGAGGGCAGGGGAAGGGAGGCGTCGCGCAGCAGGTAGGAGGGAGAGCAGGAAACAAAAAGTGCAAGCGATCAGCGAAACTGGCGGGCGCTGTCGGCAGAGAAGGGAGAAAAGCGGAAAGAATGCGGCATCCTCCATGACCGAAGCCTCACTCCCCCCACCGCCGCCCTCCCCCACGCTTCCCCGCGCCCGCTCGTCCTCCTCGTATCCCCCCCCCTTTCCCCACGACCGCCCTCTGTCCGCCCGTGTCGCATGCCTGACCCTCGATTTGCCCGAAGTCAGCACCCGACGATTCCGAACCACCTACTCCCCGCGAAAGGGGGCGGCGGCCGCCCTGCGCGTCTGGGGCCAAAGACAGTGGCTCCCTCTTGACCCGGGCCCGCAGCCCCTGGCGAACGTCCCTAATCATCGAGGGGTTCAGCTCGCCCACGGGGCCGCCGATCCAGAGGGGGCCTTGGTGCTGGTGTCAGCTTTTTGATGTTGCCTGGAACGAAAAGCCGGCGCCAGCACCAAGACGCCACTGGAAAAGTTGGGAGCGCTTTCCCTGTGGGGGCTGAGCGAGTCAAACGAGCCTGGAAAGCCTGAGATGGCTCGCATTGCTCTCCGAATGTTCAGGCCATGGGGCTTGCATGATAGAAAAGCGCCCCATAAGGGGCTCATGGCGCCCCTAGGGCCCATGGGGCTTCCATGGCCCGCGGGATTCGCAAGGCCCAGAAACCCGATGTCGCCCCGACGAGTCAGGGGGGCCCATGGGGCCCGCGCGGCTCGCTAGGCCAGCGCGGAGCATTGGGCCCACGCGCGCTGCGGCGCACGTGCGGCCCAAGAAACTGGCATTCATCAACGCGGGACACGCGAGCCTGAAGACACGGGCGACGGCAATCAACGGAGGCTATAATTTGTCTTCTCCAAATGGGATCCTGGTGTTGGTGTCGGGTTCCGGTGCGCCGATCCTCCTTATCCTCCTCCTCCTCCTCCTCCTCCTCCTCCTCCTCCTCCTCCTCCTCCTCCTCCTCCTCCTCCTCCTCCTCCTCCTCCTCCTCCTCCTCCTCCTCCTCCTCCTCCAACGCGAGTATCATCGCTCTGAATCTCGCGGCTACAGCAGGCGTGCGCGCCTCGGCTGGTGGGACAGGGCAGCACTTCGCAGGCTGCAGGACTAGATCCGCGAGCGTGCGGGCGGCGTCGATGGGGTGGGACGAGTCGGAGGAGGAGGAGCCAAATCGAAGGGGGGGTAGCGCCCACATCGTCCGCCGTCGCTCCGCACTCAGGCTCCAGCGCTTGGCACCGGCGTTCCGGGGCAGGGCACGCAGCGCGCGCTTCGGACGAGCTGGCGAGGAGGGCGAGGAAGGCGACGAGGGCGAGGAGGGCGAGGAGGGCGAGGAGGACGAGGAGGACGAGGAGGACGAGGAGGACGAGGAGGACGAGGAGGACGAGGAGGACGAGGAGGACGAGGAGGACGAGGAGGACGAGGAGGATGAGGAGGAAGAAGAGGACGAGGGAGCCCAGAGGCCGAACGGACGGATCCACACAGAGGGCCCAGGTCGTGCCCGAGAGGGGGCACCCCTGGGCAACGCCAGAGGCCACCCTGAAGAGAGGAACCCTGGCGGCTCCGCAGCGGGAGTGGGCCAGAGCCCCTGGATAGAGAGCGGAAGTCAGATCTATGTCGGGCGTGTCCCCCTACAGGGGGGCTTGTCGACGAAGAATTAAAAAAATACCTCAAAGGTGCCCCGAAAAGGTCCAAAAATACCCCAAACATAGCCCCTGGACTATGTTTGGATGATTTTTTGACTATTTGCGGGGTATGTTGAAGTTTTCGTCGAAAGCCCCCCTGTAGGGGAACGGGCCCGACATAACATCGGATGCACAAAGCCCGTCGTGAGGCGATGTGTCGCACGAAAGCACGCGGCACAGGCACGCCTCTGCGCGAGTGAGGGGAGGGCAGCGCGAAGGCCAAAAAAGCCACGAAGGCAGGAGAGAGAAATCGGGATTCGGGTCGGGCGAAAGGGAGGGATAGCAAAGGGGGGTTTGAGAATCAGCTAACGTAGCTGATTTTCCCGGCGCCTCCCGGCGCCAGAGGCGGCTATGTATCGAGGAATGGGCCCCTCGGTGGGGCCGAAACCAGCTGCGTGCAGCAAATTTCGCAACACCCCCTTTTCCAATCCCCCCCTTTCGTCCGGCCCGAGGGATGGTGGCTCGCTGCTCGCGCGAGCGCATCCTGGCGGACCACGTGCGAAAGGAAATTCCATCCGCGCACGAAGCCCCACTGGCTATCATTCGGCGGCGAGCGAGGGTGGGAAATGAGAAGGAGAAGGCCTTCACAGAAGGCGGCGGGACTTCTCAGAAGCCCTCGCGCCTTCTGAGAAATTTCCTATGTCTTCGGGTAAGGCTAAGAAAACTTCTCAGAAGGCCGGGGGACTTCCGAGCCTTCTGAGAAGGCCTTCTCCTTCTCTTTTCCCCCCCGGAACTCGCCGCCGAATCATGCGTACGCTCGCATGCCAAGCCGGACAGAGCGCGGTTCGCGGCGGCCGCGAATGCCTTGGCACCGCAGCTCTTGGGGCCGAGTGGGCGGAGCTTGCAGGGCGCCTCGATCACGCCCGCCTCCTCAGCGCCTTCGGGAATGCAGACCGTCCGCGCCGTGGAGCCCCATCGGGGCGGGCCGCCCCTGATACGAGCCGATCGTGACATCGTGCAGGCCGTCCTCCGTCAGCCCGTCGTCCGCCAGTCGAGCAACCGGCACAGAGGCGAGGAGGCCCAGGCGCAGCCGGCCGGGCTCGCCTCGGCGCGGACCGCCGGGCCGCCAACGAGGGTACGGCCAGGGGCGGGCGCTCGAACTCAGGAAGGTGTTGTGCCAGGTACGATCAGGTCGGGCGTGAAAAACAAAGAATGCCCCCTAAAGATGCAGACAGGTAGCCGAAAAACTGTCAAAGCAGCATCCCCCGACGATGTGTCGACTATTTGTGAATACTCCTCTTGTAGAGGGGCAGGCCCGACTTCAGGGCACAGGGCAGCTTTTAAAACATAGGTTTAAAAAATGATGGATTTAAATACCTGATTAATGTATGAATAAGTGTATGCATGAACTCATCGTTTTTTTTTGAAACTAAATCCCTGCATTTGTAATGCATGATCCGCGCGCGGAGCATGTCCTAAAAGCGGCACTGCACGAGCCGATCGCACCACGATCGACCTCCTTTGGCGGCGAAGGACGCGGCCGCCCGTGCCGGCGGAGCAGGGCAGCCGGGCGGCCGCCGGGCCCCTCTCCACCGCGCGGCTCCCGGGGGCCCTCGCCGCCGCCGCCGCCGCGGCTGCCGCACCGCGGCGGGCGGCGGCGGCACGGGGCCCACACCATCAGGGGGCCACATGCGAACCCTACCCCAGACCCCAGACCCCCTCGCGCTGTGAAAAAATCACGACGGGAGGTTTTTCGTTACTTTCGGCCTCTGGGGGCCCTTTCCCGGCCTCGGGACCGTCAAAAAACGACTCAGGATGAAAAACCGGTCCTGGGGAAAGGGTCCAGACCGCTGGGGGTCGACGTTTTGACAAAAATCACGACGCCGGGGGTCTGGGACCCCCCACGACTTCTGAGGGGGAGGGTGGGGTCCACTTCGTTCGGGAGCTCCCGAGCGAAGGGAACCCCACCCTCCCCCTCGGGAATCGTGGGGGGTAGGGGTAGGGTTCGCATATGGCCCCCTAACCAGGGCACGCCGCTGCGCCGCCTCCTGCATCTTGGAAGCTGTGCGAGGGCTGGCAAATCCGTGGCAGCTAAAGCGGTCTTCCCAAAAGGAGAGAGCAGACCCCTGGAACAAACCTCAGCGCGCTAAATGGTACAAACGGGCTGCTTCCCGGAAGAAAAGAGCAGATTCCCCGGAGCTCCGTTTTGGCAGGCACGGATTTGCCAGCCTTCGCCAGGCTTCTGAGCATCTTGCGGAGCTGCCCGATGCGCCGCCAGCCTCCTGGTCGCCGGCGCCGCGACTGCGTCGAGCAGCGTCGCGGAGACGGGCAGCAGCAGCAGCCTGCTGACGCTCGTGTCAAGCAAAGTCACACCGGCGGAACTCCTGCTCGAACGCGGCGGGGTCCCGTAGCAGGATCGAGCCGCCGTCCTCGCTGAGCAGGAAGCGGGCGCCCAAGTCCGCGGTGCTGGCGAGCTCGGTCGCCGGGGGCAGATCTTGGCGCCGAACGGCGCGCGCCACTGCCCCTGCGGAGATCCTGCGTCCATGGCCAGCGCCTTCCGATCCGTCGCCCATCGGCAAGGGCTGCAGCTCCTTCCGCGCGAGCCTCGCAGCCTCTGTCGTCTGGGCCTTGCCCTCCACCCAGCGGCTGTCCGCCGGCAGGCTCGAGGAGTCCGAGTGCTCCAGGAGCGTCCTGACGTGCTCGACGGAGCGCGGGGAGGCGGACACGCTGCGGGGGATAGCTCCATCTGCGGGCGCTGCCACCGCCCTCGCCTGGATCCTTCAGCTGGATGATGGCGTGGTCGCTCGGGCCCCAGTCCGCAAGCGACGCCACTGCCTGCCATCTCTCGAGGGAGACCGCGGTGTCCAGGAGGAAGTGGGACTGCGTCGAGACGAATGCGGAGGAGGAGGAGAAGGAGGAGGAGGACGACGACGACGACAACGAGAAGGAGAATGTGGAAGAGGACGAGGAGGACGAGGAAAAGGAGGTCCGAGGTCTGTGGCGCCCGTCTCCTCTGGTGAGAAAGCGTGCAGGTGAAGCGCTGGCGCCGCGGCGCGCACCGCGCCCGCGGCCCGCTCGTAGAAGTCCTGGAGGGGTGTGGGGATGGCCGCGCCTCCTCCTCCTCCTCCTCCTCCTCCTCCTCCTCCTCCTCCTCCTCCCTCCTCCTCCTCCCCCTCCTCCTCCTCTCCTCCTCCTCCTCCTCCTCCTCCTCCTCCTCCTCCTCCTTCCTGCCTCCTTCTGCCTCCCCTCCTCCTCCTCCGCCTCCTCCTACTCCTCCTCCCTCTCCTCCCACCCCGGCTCCTCCTCCTCCTCCTCCTCCTCCTCCTCCTCTCCTCCTCCTCCCTCCTCCTACTACTACTCTCCTCTTCCTCCTCCTCCTCCTCCTCCTCCTCCCTCCTCCTCCTCCTCCGCCTCCTCCTCCTCCTCCGCCCCTCCTCATGCTCCTCCGCCCCCTCCTCCTCCTCCTCCTCCTCCTCCTCCTCCTCCTCCTCTCCTCCTCGCCCCTCCTCCTCCTCCTCCACTCCTCCTCCTCCTCCTCCTCCTCCTCCTTCTTGCCTCCTCCTCTCCTCCTCCTCCTCCTCCTCCTCCTCCTCCTCTTCCTCCCCACCCCGGCTCCTCCTCCTCCTCCTGCCTCCGCCTCCTCCTCCTCCTCCTCCTCCTCCTCCTCCTCCTCTCCCTCCTCCCCCTACTACTACATCTCCTCTTCCTCCTCCTCCTCCTCCTCCTCCTCCTCCTCCTCTCCTCCTCCCCTCCGCCTCCTCCTCCTCCTCCCCCCCTCTCATGCTCCTCCGCCTCCTCCTCCGCCTCCTCCTCCTCCTCCTCCTCCTCCTCCTCCTCCTCCTCCCTCCTCCTCCTCCTCCTCCTCCTCCTCCTCCTCCTCCTCCTCCTCCTCCTGCTCCCCTCCTCCTCCTCGCTCCTCCTCCTCCTCCTCTCCTCCTCCTCCCCCCCCCTCCCCCCCTCCCCCCCTCCTTCCTCCTCCTCCTCCTCCTCCTCCTCCTCTCCTCCTCCTCCTCCTCCTCCTCCTCCTCCTCCTCCTCCTTTACAACTACACAAGATGAGTACTACTCGCCTCTCTCCCCTGATGACGTCCGGGAGATATTCGGCCCCCTCCGCGTACTGCTTTTTGAAAAACAGGATTCTCGGCAGCTGGGTTTCCGCTTGTTTTTTTGTTCAAAATATTACTCTCGCTGAGGCGCTGGCCTCATTGTCGACCTTCCTTCCGCTCGTTCCGGATCGTGCTCCCGCTGCAGAGCTGGTCTCATTTCGGCACTTCCGCTCGTTCCGAGTCGTGCTCCCTCTGTGGCGCTGGCCTCATTTCCGAGTTTTCGTGTATGTTTTTGGCAGTCCGATTCTTTCCGGTCATTCAAAGTGTTGCTCCAGCTCCCCCCACTTCGGGGCGGCGGCGTTTAGAGGAAGTATCAAGCGGGAGCCCCGTTTCTGCTTTCAGAAAGCGATGTTGCAAGCAGAGCCAGCGGGAGCTCTCCATCAGCCCCGCCTTGTGGGGAGCTTGTCGCGGAGCCCTGGGAGTTAAACATGAAACCGCGACTCCAGACCTGCCCCGAGCCTTCGAAGACGATCCACTTACCCTCCAAGAAACCCGGTGCCCTGCCATGAATGGCTGTGCGGTGTTCTGTTCTGCGCCGCTGTGCGATGCCATGCTTTGCGCTGCAATGCTTTGTGGTGCAATACCACGCCATGCTATGACATTATACGCTCTGCCGTGCTCTTCAACGCCATGCCATGCCGTGCTCTACGATGCATCGCGCACCCTCTCGCGATCATTGCCCTGCTCGACATCCGACTGTGCGAATAGAGAGGAGATCTACGCGATCGTAAGGGATGGGAAGGAGGGGGAGGACGTCAGATATGACGCGAGCGCACCTAGCTTGTCCTTCTCCCCTCCTCCTCCTGCTCCTCCTCCTCCTCCTCCTCCTCCTCCTCCATCCCTCCTCCATTTGTTTTTCTTATAACTAATCCCTATTTGGCGGGCTACAAGACATGTCAGTAGGACGGGCCAGGCGTTGTGCTTGAGACTCCCTCACCGTTAATGAACCTGGAGCTGGACAATTCCAGCAGCTTCAAGGATTGAGGGCGGTTAGCTTTCAACATGTGGCTTTCGCCTAGTGGCTTTCACAATGCGATTCTCGCCATAGCGCCGAGCACATTAAAACAAACATGCAACAGCTTCAACGATGGAGGGCGGCTCTTTTTCAAAATAAGGTTCTCGCGTTAGCACCGCGCAGAGTCGTCTAAAACTGCTGCAGTAGTTTGAAGGGTTCGTATGGCGAAGTTCCAAGAACGGTGTTCTGATACGATTGACTGACGCATTGCTGATGCGTCTTGGGCTTACACTGAGCCCAATAAGTATCCCACCCGACAGATTCAGGACTCCGCCACTACTTGAAGGCCCAATTGCTACACTACAATCCCCGCCCTCCTCGTCATCCTCTTCCTCCTCCTCCTCCTCCTCCTCATCCTCCTCCTCCTCATCCTCCCCTCCCCCTCCGCCTCCTCCTCCTCCTCCTCCTCCTCCCTTCCTGACTGTCGCCTCCTCCTCCTCCTCCTCCTCCTCCTCCTCCTCCCCTGGGCGAACACACAGGCGTCCCCCTCCTCCTCCACCCCCCGCTTCCTCCTGCCTCCGTAGAACCGGTCAACCTGAACAACACCCCCTCTCTCCGCCAGTCCTGTTCGAGCGGTACTCCTGCTTCTTCCGCATGATCTAGCTTAGCTTGTGTGCTGTCAAAAAACCGCCACGTGGCCTCTGTTCGATCGAAACGTTCTCGGTGTTTCAACCTGGCGTTCCCGATTTCGCGCTGACACTCGTCTAGGATCGACGCATGGGCCCCGTTGCTCAAAGTGGCGCTCTCGCCCCATGCGCGGGGCACAGCTCCGGATACGAGTCTTTCCTCGATGCTGTCGCCCTCCGCCTTCCCCCGGTCCTTCTGCTCCTGCCAGCGCTCGTGCTCCTGCTCCTGCTGCTGCTGTTCCCCCTTTGTGCCCCTCCTTCCGTATCCTGATCCCCTCCCCCCTGCACATCATCCTGCATCCCTCTTCCATATCCACCTCCTCCTGCATCCCTCCTCCTGCCACCCTCTTCCATATACACCTGCTCCTGCATCCTCCCTCCTACCTCCTCCTGCCACCTGCCACCTCCTCCTGCATCCCTCCTCCGTATATACATAGACGCCTCCCCGTCGAGCCCCGAGGCGTGCTGGCAGGGCGGGCCAGGCGATCCGCCCGAGACTTCCGCGCCACTGGTGGTCCTGACGCCTGACAGCTGCAGGAATGTTGAGGATGGTTACCAGCCTGGAACTTATCCCTATCCTTAAGCTGGGCATCGCCTCATCACAATGCCAATCTTAGGGATTCCCTTATTATCTGAGGGCGCATCCCTAAGACTGTCATCGCCTTTTGGCGTGTCAATCTTAGGGATAGGGATAAGTTCGAGGCTGGTAAGACGGGGGGCGGGTGGCTTTCCACATGTGGCTTTCGCCTGAGCGCCGCGCAGATTCACCTCAGAGATAGGCCGCGGCTTCAAGAATGGAGGGCGGGTGGTGTTTAACAGATGGTGTTCGCTTGCGCGCCGCGACATCCGTCTTCAAACTATGCAACGGTTTTCAGGACGAAGGCGGGTGTGTTTCAAACTGTTGCTCTCGCCATAACGCCGCGCACACTCGTTTTCCAACTATACAAGAGCTTCAAATAAGAAGGGCGGACCGTTTTTGAAATGTGGTTTTCGCCTCAGCGTCGTACGCATTCGTCTTAGAAGTATGCCACCGTTGAAAGAGTCGTAGGGTTGACGTCCCAGGAACATTGGTTCGGCAGGATGTGGGGGTGTCCGGACGCAACAGTCGCGTTGATTTTCGGTATTGAAGTTAACGGTGTCCTGGCACGACTCAGGATCGTCACGACGCAACAATGACGTTGACTCGAGGCGATGAAATCCTGGGAATGGTGTTTGGCACGGCTGGGGATATTGATATTCAGATACTTGTTTTCTAACGGGGCAGTGCCCACAGTGGGAAAAAACGTGTTACAGGGACCGATGAAGAGGTAGCATGGAAGGGAGGCTTCCTGCAACATCGCCGAAGCTTCTGGGATGTACACTGGTCCTCTCCACGAAGCTTGAGTGGCCTAAGACCTCTGGGAAAAGGCCCCACAACCTCTGGGTAAGCCCCGTGGGGAGCCCGAGCCTCTGAGAGAAGCTTCAGAACTTGGGCCCCTCAGCTTTCGGCCACTTCCCGGGGGCCGTTTGTGCGCTGGCCACTTTCTGATGGCGCCGGGGCTCGCTCGTCGTCGTCGTTGTCGTCGGACCCAGAAGCGGCCTGGGGTCTCGACCTGCCGAGGATGTCTCAGGCGGAGTCGCCCGTGCGGGATGCTGCGCCAAGGTTCCTCTCAGTCGCCGGGGACGAAGCCAGGCGAGGCGGGGCGACTCCCAGTTCGCCCGTGAGTCGGGAGCGGCCAGGAGGGGGGTGTCCAAGAGGGGGGGGTGCAAATCATGACCGGCGGTATGTGCGCGGCCCAGCGGGGGGGCCAGGAACGCAATCAAATAAGAAGAGGCGCCATGAGATCCGGGGAAATATCATGGCCCACGCCAGGATATCCACCCCCCCCTAGTCATCACCCCCCTCTTTTCCGCCCCCGAGTGAGGGCGGCCGCGCGCGGGGCTGGGAATGGGCGCCGGGGCGCTGCTCATTCAGTCGAGGGTAGACCTGTTTCTGCTTGTGCGGTGCACATAACCATCCTCCGATCGTGACCGCAAGTCGCTGTCTGACGCAAATGTTTGCCTACGCTCCCCACATGTAGTGCGAATAAACTCTGCCACATCATCCATCCATTGTTTGTGAGGTCGGTGTGGTAATCGCTTTGCACGTGCACTCGTGTTGGTAGGGTCCCAAAACAAAGCCTTTCGGCCCCACTTCTCCCTGTCATCGCACACAGTCGCCCCGCAAGTCTCCATTGTATGCGCCTCTGTCGTATGACCCAATCTTAGTATCCCATGTCGTTGCAATGCTGCTCGATATACCTCGTCGCGCGCCGGATCCAATCCTGCCATGGTTCAACCGCGTCGTCTCGAGAGTGCGTGCTCGATGTTGCGGAGGTGTTTGTGGTGCTGGAGTGGGTGCTGCTGTTGGCGGATTCTGGTTTGTCGCTACTGTTGTCTGGACAAAACAGGAAAGCTGGCGAGTCGCCAGAAACAGAACAGTAGCTGGCATGAAAAAAAGCGAGACAGCTGACGTGTAAGAGGGAGAAAAGGAAGGAAAGGAAGGGAATGAGAGAGGTTGAAGGAAAGAGAGGGAAGGCTCTGGCGACTGGCGTGATAACTGATGTGAAAAGTGAAGAAAATGATAAATAGAGGGAAAGCTGGCGAGATAGAGGGAAACGCGGGAGAAAGCTGGAGAAAGCTGGCGGAGAGAAGAGCGGGGGAATGATAAAGAAAGATATGAAACATTGAGGGAGAGAGGAAGAAGAGAGGGAGGGAGAGGACGACGACGACGACGACAACCACGACGACGACGACGACGACGACGACGACGACGACGACGACGACGACGACGACGACGACGGCGGCGGCGGCGGCGACTACGGCGACGACGCCGAGCCCAAGGGCACGCGCGAGAGCGAGGTCGCGAAGGTTCATGTGGGTGGTCCAGAGGCGGGGGCGCTGGTCCTGAGGTGAACAGCAGGAACATATCGAGCGGAAGCCCCGATTGATTTTGTTGGAAAGTCGGCTTTGGGGGCGAGCAAGAGCCCTGACACCGGCCAAGCCCGGGGTAACTCTCAATCTCACACAAAACAGCAACTTCCGCCACCACACGCCCCCGCAAAAATAAGCAATCTAGGAATTACAAATCTGGAATACACCACAAGCAAATGCAAAACATCGTGCAGCCGAGCGTGCACAGGAAACCACACGTGCGTGCAACAATGGTCCCCTTCGATGTGTCGGGCATCAGCGGACCAATCTAATTATCGCAGCCGTACCACTGGGAATGGAAGAAGTCGGCGGCCCACCCCGAAGGAGATCGGCATCACGTAGAGGTCTCGCACGGGCTTCGCCGGACAACCCCCCCTTGGAGCGGCTGCCTCGGGTCGACCCGCCTCGGCGGCCCTCTCGGGCGGCCACTGCAACTGGTCCGGCAGCGCCCTCAACCTGGACACCTGAACAGGATCTTCAAGCCAGGCGTGAGAGATACATGAGCGCGAGTTCCCCACCACGCTGCTCCCGCCGAGCGGCGCTGGGCCGAGGCGCCCGAGGGGTCTTGACTGTCAGTGCCCCTTTCGCCTTCGCGGCGCTCCGCCGAGGGTCCCGAGGGGTCTTGACGATCAGTGCCCCCTGCGCCTCCGGCCTTCTGGGAAACTCCCGCAGACAGCTGGCGACCCTTCCTCTGCTTCAACTTGCTGGGGAGACACGGCTGTGCATCCCGTTATCACAGCGCCGCAGGTGCACAGCGCTCCAGGCCAAGGAACTGCTCCCAGCACCCTGCGGCGGGGCCGAAAACCTCATCCGCGCACAGGGCCAGGGGCTCACTCGCCCCCGCCGCGCACTCCCTGCCCACGAGGCACTCCGAGACAGAGGACTGCCGCACGTTGCTCTCGGACACGTCGGGCGACTACCCCCCCCTGCGCGTTGCCGAGTAGAGCAGATGTTTCACCACCACTACCCTAGGTAGGAGGGGGGGGGGAGGAGGAGGAGGAGGAGGAGGAGGAGGAGGAGGAGGAGGAGGAGGAGGAGGAGGAGGAGGAGGAGGAGGAGGGAGGAGGAGGAGGAGGAGGTGGAGGAGGAGAGGAGGAGGAGGAGGAGGAGGCGAGGATGAGGAGGAGGAGGAGGAGGGGGAAGAGGGGAGGAGGAGGAGGGAGGAGGAGGAGGAGGAGGAGGAGGAGGAGGAGGAGGAGGAGGAGGAGGAGACGGAGGAGGAGACGGAGGAGGCGGAGGAGGAGGAGGCGGAGGAAGATCAGATCCTCCCCACTATACAGCAGCGTCGCCACCTGCAGCGGCTCGCTGGCCTTGGCACGGGCGGCCTGGCCGCGCGGCGCCTGCCGCAGCCCGCGCTCGCACGGGTCGCGGGCACGCGCCGCTGGGCGGCTCGCCGGTCAGCGAGCAACCGCCTGCACGGCAGCTGGCGCCTCCCAGGGGCCGACCTCCCGTACAGTGGAGGCTAATCCACAAGAAACCCTCCACAAAAAACTCAACCCTGAGACCCCAGGACGTCCGTTGAGTTCTGGTGTGGGAACGTCACCGCCTTCCACCGAAAAACCATCGAAATCCAAGAAACCCAGGGCACCCTGGAGCCCTGGAGGCAAGCAGGGTGTTCTTGGCATGGGCCCCCACTGCAACAACCCCATTGCACAGGATTCGCCACCATCTTCGCCAGCCCGAGTTGCCACAAGCGCGGCGCGAGGAGCCGTCGGGGCGCGACGGCAGGGCGATTCGGAAGCCAGAGTGTCGAAAGGATTGAGCCCAAACTGCTTGAGCCAAAATGGCTACGAGGGGGAGGGGGGGGAGGGGAAGGAGGAGGAGGAGGAGGAGGAGGAGGAGGAGGAGGAGGAGGAGGATATGGAGATGCATCGTTTTCTTTGTCGCGGGGAGGGAGGGGTGAGGGGGATGGGAGGAGATTTGAGGGAGATTGGGAGGGAGGAGGAGGAGGAGGAGGAGGAGGAGGAGGAGGAGGAGGAGCGGAGGAGGAGAAGGAGGAGGCGGGAGGAGAGAAGGAGGAGGAGGAAGAGGAGAAGGAGAGGAGGAGGCGTAGAAGGAGGAGGAGAGGGCAAGGAGGGACAGGCGGGAGAGAGGGAGGGAGGAGGGGAGGGAGAGAGGAGGAGGAGGAGGAGGAGGAGGAGGAGGAGGAGGAGGAGGAGGAGGTCCTGGGGAAGGCCCGGCGACAGCCCCGCCTGCAGGCACACCTCCGTGGCGCCCAGCTCCTGGGCCTCGAGGGCCCGGCGGACGATCTCCTCGACGGGCAGGAAGTACGCCTGGTGCAGCGGGGCCACGGCCAGGGGGGGCGATGCCTCACTAACGGGCGGGCTTTAATACATTGGATTTTTTGTTTTTTAATGTAGGATGTTTAATGCATGATTAATCTATGAATAAATGTATGCATGAATTCATCGTTGTTTTAATGCTGAATTCTTACATGTTAAATACATGATCCGCACGCGAAGCATGTATTAAAAACGGCACTGTAGGTCGGGGGTGTCCCTTGACAGGAGGAGTCTTCAAAAATAGTCCAAACATGATCTGGGGACGATCGGGGGGGCGATACCTCCTCAGGGTTAGATCTTCTGACCCGGGTCAATCCAGACCCGGGTCAGCAGGAAACCAAACAACTGCAATGCAGGAAGGAGAAACTGCAACGCAGGTCTTCGCAAACCCGGGTCAGCCAGTGTATGCGCGGCCGCCCCGCGGCCACGAGCGGCTCGCCAAACCGGGTCAGCCAGAGGGGGCCAGGATCCTGCAGGATCCGGTGCCCTGGATGACCCCCGTTTGCATTGGCCCCGACCTGGGGCAGCGGGGCCACGGCCGGGGAGGCGATACCTCACTAGGGTTAGGTCGGGCGTGTCCCTCTGCGGGAGGAATCTTCAAACATAGTCCAGACATGATCTGGGGACGATCGGGGGGGCGATACCTCATCAGGGTCAGGTCGGGCGCGTCCCTCTACAGGAGGATTAATCAAAAATAGTCCAAACATGATCTGGGGACGATATGTTTACAATGTTTGAATAGTTGTTGGATTATTGCTGGGCTATCTTAAAAATGTGCCCTCCAAGTCCGCCGGTACGAGGACATGCCCGATCCGACATTAAGAACGAGGTGTTCTGATGTTCTGACTATTTACCAGACCACCCCAACCCAACCCGAAGAACCGAATTTCGGGTTGGGAGGGGGGGGTACGGGCTTCATGTGTGTATTACTGTCCATGATCCCACACCCACACTGGAAGTGGAGGGCAAATCGGGGCCTTCGGGTTGGGCTGGGGTGGCTTGGTGGGCGGTGGGGTGCTGAAGTGTCCTGAAGTTTTCGTAGGATCTCGGCGTTTTCCCAGCCTCGGGGTGCTCCCCAGCGGCCGCGCGAGGGCGTTTCCCGGGGGGGGGGGGGCGCCCGGACCGTCCCGCGAACGGCCGCCGGAGACCCGCATGGGCCGAGGCCCAAGCCCCCTGGCGTCGCGAACAAAAAACATGACGGGAAGATTGTGAGTCGTCCTCGTGGTTAACTACCAGACCACCCCAACCCAGCCCGAAGACGCGAATTTCGGGTTGGGGAGAGGGGGTACGGGTTCCAGATGCGTTTCCTCAAAATGTTCCCCGACCCCCCCCGCTGGAAATGGAGGGCAACTCGGGGCCTTCTGGGTGGGGCTGGGGTGGTTTGGTGGGCGGCGGGGTGTTCTCAAAATGCTCCCCGACCCCCCCCCGCTGGAAACGGAGGGCAGCTCGGGGCCTTCTGTCGGGGATGGACAGACCCCCCTTTAGTAAAACGTGGTTTAGTGAAACCGACCTGAGGCCCAAACCTGGCGGGCGCAAGCCTGGAAAATAACGGCCACGGCGCCATCTGGAGGGCAGCTCGGGGCCTTCTGGCTGGGGCTGGGGCCGCTTTTGTGGGCGGTGATCTCGGCCGCAGTGGGGCCCGCACGGGCAGGGTGTGCGCCCGGGGCAGCGAGGCGCGAGGAGGCAGGGGGGTCAGGAAGCATCCCCTGGGAGGTCTTGTGGGAACGGCTGAGGGCTACCTCCTCCTCCTCCTCCTCCTCCTCTCCTCCTCCTCCTCCTCCTCCTCCTCCTCCTCCTCCTCCTCCTCCTCCTCCCCTTCCTCCTCCCCTTCCTCCTCCTCCCCTTCCTCCTCCTCCGCCTCCTCCGCCTCCTCCTCCGCCTCCGCCTCGTCCTCCTCCTCATCCTCCTTCCCCGCGATTAAGGGACCATCACAGTGGATTAAGCCGGAGTGAGCCCAGGACTAATCCCGATTGCGCGGGATTCAACGGAACTACCGGCGGGATGGGGCGGGAGCATGCCGGGTTAGGTCGGGAGGAACCAGCCCAGCAGAAGCACGGCCCGGGCGAAGGGGCAGAGGGCCTCCCCCGACGACGACGACGACGACGACGACGAC